TTTGAGGATCTTGCTTTGTGGCGGGGACTTGTTATTCGGTTTGCAAGACGTAGGCAGGGGAAGGGGAAAAAGAAGGCAGCGGCGATCTACGCGAGTTTGGACGTTAGACGTTAAAACCCGGGAATAGGGAAGCGTAGGAAAGCGTAGGGAGCAGAGAAGCGTAGCCGATATCTTCGCAGGAGATGCGAGAGGTCAGTGGGGCGCCGATAGTAAACTGGAATGTGCCTTCCAGGTTGGTGCGACATCGCTCCAAACTGAAAATTCAGTTGAATGCAGGGCAAACTTGACCTTCCTCGACTACCTGGTACCTACGTGGTACCTGATCTACGTGGGCATATCAAGCACGTTAAGTGCATTTCTCGATGGGAGGCGGGTACGTTGTCCCACTTCACTCACATTTTGCAAACGTTCAGCACGACTAGCAGCCCTTGCTAGGACACATGGCGATGAGCGGTTTTGGTAGAATAGGTATCAGGTATTGTACTACCTGTCTCCTTTGGTCCAATGTTTGCGGATGGTGACGCTGTGTCAACCGAACCTTTCAAAAAAAAAAAAAAAAAGAGGGGGAAATGCAACATAGCTTGAGTCAGGTATCTTCCAGATAAGTTGTATCGCACTATTGGTCTTTCAACCAAGGTGCCGGAATTGACCTATGTGCACGGCTAGCTTCAAGGTCCATGTTCGGTCACCCAATTATAAGAACAGCTCGACACTCGTGTAATAATTAGACTGAGAATATTGTCGCGGCGAGTGATCAACACACTGAGTAGATTCTGATCATTTTGCATCTATATGGTTTAATACAACGCGCGCAAGATTATATACAGAGCAACATGAAAGCTTGAAGCTGAGAATTTGAATCAACCCCTCTATCTAAGGTACCAGGTATGGTAAATTAGTTATACGCCGTTTACCATTCCCCGCCTCTGAAACCATCTTCGGACGAAGTAAAATGCCAAACCCAGAACCCAAAGCGCAACAAGCACGAGCGCGGGAGCTGGCGAAAATGCCGCCCCGCGAACGACAACAAACCCGCTGACCAGCGCAAAGATGATGGGCACGCCGATGAAGGGCCTGTACGGCCGGTCGAGGGTCGGTTCGCGGTACCGCAAGACAACTGCGCCGAGGACAGTGAGGAAGAAGAAGGAATACTCGCCGAGGCCATTAAAGGTCAGAAGTACGCGGAAGCTGCCCAGTAGGATGTACAGTGCTGAGAGGATGGTTGACAAGATCAAAGCGTTAATCGGGGCGTCCGACTCTGGCAGGCCTGATGCGTCTGCCGAATCCGCGGCAGCTGGGGCGAACCTATCGTCTGAAGCACGAGCAGATGGTTGGAGGCCCACATGCCCAACAAAGCTCAGAAACCGAGGCAGCCATTTCATGTTTGCCGCTGCAACGGCCATACGACCGGCCACAAAGGAGTTGCCAAGCAGAGAGCCAGCAACAACCAAACAAATCACAATGGCAGCCGCAAGGCCGACAGCCGGTCCAAGAAGGCGGGTTATGGCGGTCATGTTGATGTTAGATATGGGTTTCATGTTACGATTTAGGGGACAAGAGGTGGGGGGTCCGAACGAGATACAACTTACCACGGCAACGCTATCGGTTGTTGAGAGCACATCCCATGGTAGCAGGATGTAATAAGCAGCATTCGCGGTGATGAAGCAGAGAATGATGGTCGGGATGGCCGTGTTGAGCGCGAGAGGAAGCTGTCGAGCAGGTGCCGAGAGCTCTGCAGAGATATATATTGCCTAAAACCTCATTAGTTGACTCTTGGACACGCTCACTGTCTCGTTGTAGAGGTCCTGCCGTTGGACTTACTTTGTCCCAACCGCTGTATGCCCATAAAGCCGAGTAGAGCGCCGCGGACAGGTGCCCAAACAGTTCCCACTCGCTCACAGAATCCCAATCGGTAGTGCTGCCGTCTGGGTTGAGACTGTCCCGGTATTTGAACCAGGAGTGAGTGAACCAGTCCCGCCCGCCAACGTCCCTGTACGGGTCCGAGACCTGGAGGATGACAACGACAATGCCGGCCAAGACCAGCGCGGCAATGGCGGTAAACTTGGTCACCACGAAGAAGTTGTTGAGCCTTGTGCTCGCCTTCGTGCTGATGGAGTTAGCCAAGCCGACGGCTGCCAGGACCAGAATCGAGAGCAGCTTATGCACGATCTTGTCGCCCTCGCCCGTTACGCCGAGGGCAGAGTAGATGGTTTCGATAAAGACGATGCTCAGGATCGCAAGGGTCGCAGGCATGACAGCGACTACCCAGGTCCAGGCTGCCAGGAAGCCAAACACATCACCATAGATGTATTTGAGATAGGGCTGCACTCCACCTGCACAGCCATGCTATCAGCATCAGCTACTGAAACGTACACGACTACGCTACCAATGAAATGCTAATCTGATAATGATGTTTGTCAATGGGAGGGTATGGAGCTCACCTTCGCCTGGAATGGCAGTTCCGAGTTCTGCCATGGTGCTTGCGCCAGTCCAGGCCAGGACACCGCCGACGAGCCAGACAATCAGGGCGACGCCAGGTGACGGGACGTTTGTGTCAATAGCGCCCGGGGAAGTGAAGACGCCACTTCCGATGACGATAGCGACAACAATGGCGAATGCTTCGACGGTGCCAAGAGAAGGCGTAAATGTGCCTCTCTCTCGATCCCCCGGGCCCCCTCCCTGGGAGGCTCGTCTGCCTCTTGCGTCGTCCGTGCCATTCTGGCCATTTTGTTGGGCCGCACTTGACAAGAGAGGTTGCTGCTCTTGGTGCAGGGCCGCATCATGGTCTGGGGAAACATGATTGTTGGGCGCCATTCTTGTGGTCGACGGCGAGTAGGGGAACGTTCTACGTGTGCTTCAGTTGACAGCTGGCCGCGAGGTGAAGGATTCGCGACGGCCTGACAAAGTGCATGGTTTAGTTGCCTGAGGTCCTGCAGTGGAAGTTGAGACTGGGGAGTTACTTTTTCGGACCGAGCCGAGGCCGCCACACCAACTGGGAGCACGCCATCTCAGCGCCGGGTCCCGAAAGACCAGGACAGTCATGACGACTTTACCCAACGCTTTCCGTTCGATTGTTCCACGCGATGCTCCGACGCAAAAGATCAGGTGGCCCCGTGCGTTGGGGGGTAATAAATTAGTGCTCCAGCGTGTGTTTTTGGGCAAGGTCCAGGCACCTTCGGCTGGATGGGCCCGTGTCCGCACTGGTCCAGTTGCTGTACCATCCATGTTACAGGCGGCAGTGTGGGGGTTCCAGGGACAATGTGGTCTGTGACAATGCTCACCATGGCTTCGAAGGCACGCACTCAGTGATTGAAGACTTTCAAGTTCGGCTATATTCATGTGAAAAAGGGAAGGAAAATCCCTGCTGTTCCTAATTCTGCTAGAGCTGTGGAAGTCTAAACATTCCCATTCCAGATGACCGGCCAGCTTTTTCAGGATGTGTGGATGGACTTACCGGAGATCATCGTGAATGACAGACACCGACAGCCCGGCGAGACCAAGGAAAAGGGTACCTTATTCAAGCAGTCATAACCAACCACCACCTCATATATGATGAATAAGACTGATGGGATGAACAATCCAAGCAATTGGTTTTCTTCTTGTCAATACCGGCCTGGTCGCAGCTACCAGCAGCTTACAGTCACTACAAATCTCCGCGTCGATGGCTTCTCCGACTGAAGGGAAGATCCCAAACCTTTTCGGAGATAAGCTCAATCTCAACACTCTAATTTCACGAACCGTCAAGCGACAGCCAGAAACAAAACGAGTCATGGACGGCTTCATAAGTATCAGGCGAATGCTGTGACGTGGGTGGACCAGAATAGCTCTGTCCTTCAGATCTGGTATGGGAGGTACCGACTACCGTGCTTGGTACGTAAGCGATTTTCTTTGCCTCCGCGACGGTGCTCCGTGACACCGGAAGAAAGCGCGGCCAGAGTTTGATTGCCTCATTCCACAACGGCCATCAAGCCCGAGACCAGAGAATACCTCAGGTACCTGACCACCTGGATCAGGAAACCAGGCGCTGCACTTAGAATACATGTGAACAGATCGTTCGCTCTTGGCTGGAACATCCAAGTATCCATATTTCGGTAATGTACAGAAGGTACCGGCGCGTACTGGTATGGGCCCCCGCTTCGGATCCCCTCCTGGTCGAACCCTGTATGACCCCTAAAACCCTTCGTGCATCCAGCGTGCCTGACATGAAGAGTTGGTCGTCATGCCTGTCTGTCAGCTGTGTACTTGACCGTACGTCGCAAGTTCAAAGCCCAAAAACGAATCGAAACCTGGCAGGGATTGCTCGTCGAATACCAAGGGGCGAGAACACTGAGCAGTGACGTCTGATGTTGGTATCTTGATGCATCACGTTGGCGTCGCCTAATCTTAACGCTGCTTAAGTCAACCAAAATGCCCAGGCGCAAGGCGCATGCATACTGTAGTGTACGTGTTTGCCCAGGGTCTCAGGGTTCTCACCTGCAGCGGATCGGCGATGACTGACCTCAGGCTGGGCGCGATCTGCTGTCCTGTCCGCAACACGCGAGAACCCCGTTTCCAAAGGAGCACTGTGCACAGAAAGGAAAGAAATGATGTGTGAATTTCATGTCTCACCTGGCTTCTACCCTCGTTGCGCTGAGAAATGCGGTGATCGACGGCATGGGGAGATCACAGATGAGTCGGGGAATGCCCTTCTAGGTTCGTGGAACAAGGTCAAGCTGGCTTCCCACAACGGCGACAAGGTAGGTAGGTAGACCTTGAAGACAATAAAAGCGACAACAGATGGACAGGAAAGTCCATGTACGATGCTTGGTTGCATCTTTACCGGTTCCATCGATCGAGAATATCTACGACGCTGGTGATAATAATTCACACCAAACAACCATCAGCTAATAATACCCGGCAAAAAGGGGTTAAATGTGGGTGGCTGCAGAGCAAAACAAAACAAAAGATTTCTCAATACCCAAAGTAACAAACTCGAGGTGGAAAGAAAGAATACATTCGCTCGCCAACGGCGAGACTCGAACTCGCAACATTCAGATTAAAAGTCTGACGCGCTAAACCAATTGCGCCACGCCGGCTTTTGAAGGGGATTATGTGATTCTGACCCGCAACGACCTTTCATAAGCCCTCTCGTCTCCACCCCTCTTAGAAGCTGGGGAAAAAAAAGGAGACAAAAAAGGGGGGGCAAAAGGGGAAAACAACGTGTTGGAGGGGAAGTCGAATAAACCCGGCCCAACAGATCAGACCCACGGGAAAACAGTTCAGGGCTTACACGCCGTGACCCAAGCTGCTGCACCTGTTATCAATCACGCATCTGGGTCGGTCGCTCGCCAGTTGGCTGCAGCGCCAACTGCATGTGTTGTTGCGGGGAAGCTGGATGGGAAAATAACAAAACAGAAGGGCAGAAAAAAGGGGGTTCCAACCAGTGCCAGGGTTCAATTAACCCCGCCTGCCATGCATACGGGACCCGCTGTGCTGTAATTTTTACAGTGGGCCGTCTGTGGTGGTGTAAAAGCTTCCTGCTGTTTGATGGAGCCCGCCTCAACTGAACGTCCCTGTGGACGGCCCCAGCCCCCAAGAGCCATAACCGAGTCCACTGTGTATTTTATCCGGGTTTCAATTCGTTGCTACGAAACCTTTGTCTTATAGGTTAGATGGACCTCCGTTCGAACACGGAGGACGAAGCCAGGGCGAGCTACCAAGCAGCTGAGCAATGTAAACCTCAGACGTCACTCCCATGTCCCAGCCCGGAGTCCATGGGGTTCACCTATTTGCCCCCTCAAACGACCCCGAATCGCGCGCTCGACGCTCTCGAGAGCCATCCCCGAGACCAAACGTCCATACAGGGATACAAGGGCAGGAAGCTATATGTTTGATATGTGTATTTTTATTTTCGCTAAAGTGATGTAGTGCATGGCCTTCCAAGGTTCCCGGTACACAAGAATCCAAGCCAACGGTGGTCGCAGCAGATAAGTGCAGCCCATAACATGCAAACGCTCCGGCCGAACGCCATCAATAATACTTTCTCGCTCTGTTCGATGATGGTAAGCGTCCCATGCCATCGCCCATAAGTCCATTGCCGTTACCATGTTCATGGCTATGCCCATTGCTATTTTTCCCGCCAGACCAGTTGCTCAAAATTACTGGTATGAGGTAAGTCCCAGCCCATTAACCCTCTTCTGCAGGGCCCCGTCATGACCAGACCGCGAATGCGCCAATATAGGTGCCAAATCCAAAGACAGTCAAAGAATGCAAGCAGTCGAAACATCGAGCAAGCCAGTAATTCATCGTGTGTTGTGATGATGTTCGCCGCCCAAAAGCTTGGCAGTTCAGTCAACGGTATTCCATCGCGCTGTGACCAGCGGTTTCTCCAAGCAATTTGCCATTTATGACCACGACATGAAAGGCGAGGATATAGTCTGATGGTCCAGCTCATGCCCCAAACGTGGCTCGACCTTTGGTTTCCGCGGCGGTTTCATTCCCAATCGACGCAAGTTGCCGGTGAGGGATGGGTGCCCTACAGAATGACCACGAAAAGCTTGCAGGACAAGTCAATAAACCAGTTCTGTCAAACCACCGCCTACCTGACACGTTAAAAGGCCGTGTCTCATTTCTTGGTCCTGCTGCTGGAGGCTGTAATCTTGCTCGTCGTCATGAGATCCCCAATGTACTTTTGGAGGAATTTGTTGTTGTTGTCGAGTTTGTTGTGCTCTTCCTTTACTGCCTCGATCCGATTGAATAGTGTGATTAAAGAGTCTTGAAGAGCTTTCGCGTGTCTACCAGGTATCTGCGGTCAGCAATTATCCCCATCTCGTATCTGCAGATAGGACGATAAAATAGGTATACTCTCGTTGGCCTATCATTTACTCACCGTTGTAACTCTGCTCTTGCTTCTTGGCCCATCGTTTCAATGTCCTGGGTTGTTCTCCGGGGGCTCATGGCTCTGACGTCGTCCGGACCGACTTGAAGATCAACAGGCCCAACAACAAAATCGTCGCGTGGCACTATCATGGTCCCACTGCTCCGACGACTTGGCAGGCGTGGCCGAATTGGAACTGGCGCAATTATGGACTGGTCGATGGACGACGCCGAGGACGAATCGGACCGCTCCATGCTGGGCGGATTCTCGGGGATCTGATCTTGCATCTCAGACGATGTCTGGTGACTGCTGGACGGGAAATAACACCAAGGGAGAGTGGGAAAGTCGAGGCCGCGGCTGCTCTCGGTGCGTGTCGCAGCGCCTCTGTATTCTTCAGAGCAGCGTCCTAAAAACGCTGCCGTTGTTGATGTTATTGACCCGTTGCTAGTTGTTGTTTTTGGTTGTTGGTACCAAGGCGAGGTCAAAGTCGGCAGTTCTAGACTATATCTGGGCGAAAGGTGGGATCGCGTAGGTTTAGGTGTGTTTGGGAAGGTGCGGGACAAGATCTGAAAGCAAAAAGGTTGAAGTCGCAACAAGAAGCAGCGTCGTAGGGCAGAGGAAAGTCGAGTTCTTGGTGGGTGGTATGCTGTGTGCCGTGCTTAGGCCGGGTCGAGGGCTCCTGGGCGACTGACTTGAGCAACGGCGACGTCAAGAGGCACTAACTGCCAATTGGGCAGAGGAGCCGTGACCTGCAGGACAGTGCGTAAAGAGGGCGACTCGGTTCTAGGGGTCTTTTGGTATTATCGGTATCGTCGGTATCGCGGTATTGTCGGTACGTGGGTTTATTACTGGGTGTGCGTTCGGTGCCTCGGGGTTTGATGCTGGGATGGCGAGTGGAAGGAATAACCCGTCGAGGCGCGCGAGAGGCAAGTAAGTGGAGCCTCAGCGACAGTCAAACTGGGTGGTGGTCAGGAATGGGAGGGCTTTGGTCCTGTTTTCTGCGGCGATCAGCAAGATGTGCCTTGCTCCTGGTGATCGTGAGCAGTGTTGGGTGGCTGCGAGCAGAGGAGCCTCTAGGTTTCTCGGCGTGTTTATGGGCCGGCAGGGTGGAAGTCGGGGGCTTCCAATGTTTTGGAAGGCTCGCTGGGGAAGGTGGGATGTCGATCCGCGAGGAATGGAAGGCCTGTTTGTCGCTCCGTAGGTGGAGGGCGGCATGGAGAGGATGCACATACCTTATGTATGCAAGGGACCTTGGTGTGGTTAGCCAGGAAGGTCCTGTTGTGAGTTTTCCAGTGTTTGTGCCTCACTTCAGGTTTATGTATTTTCCCCTTCGGTGGGTGCCCTCGGTGGAATTCGCGACTGCCTGGTTGGACCGTAACGGCGTGACAGCGTGGCGGCAATGGCTTGAACTATGTTTCTGAGGGGACGGTTCGGGGAGCTTCGAAGGGGTGCAGGTGCGGTGCTGGTGCTGTGCGATGCAGGCGGGCAGTCTGATCTGGACAACGGGGTGGTGAGTTGCCCGCGATAAGGTTGGTAAAGCAAATATTCGCGTCGGTCGCGTGGTACCATTGCAAAACGACCAAGCGAAGCAAAACGAACCTCGAACATCGATCACTTGCATCATGGGGAAGCCAGCACACCCAGGTCCAACCCAGCAGGCTTTGGAGCTTCCAGTGGTGCGGTGCTGCCTCAGGCCCCAGACCCAACCCTCCAGCTAATTTAGGCTAGATCTGATGCGGCCGGACTGCCGATCTGCAACTGTGACGCCACTGCAGATGGCCTTGATTGGCTGATGACGGCTGACCTCCACACACAGGAAAGTCAGCGCCGTGTCACTGAATGATGAAATGGCTGAAAATCCCATGTTCCCTCGGTCGAATTGCGAAAGAATGTGGTTTTGCGTCGGCACTCCTGGATCAGGAACTCTGCAGCGTAGTAGTGTTATTCTGACTGCCCTGCATATACACAGTCAGTTGTGCATGACTTCTCGCCCTGACACCGTGCCTGCGACCTCGCTATGTTTGAATTTCCTTTTGCTAGTTTTTGTTCGCAGACATGATTCCCATACAATTACAAAACGCCTATCTCGTCAAGGTTGGGTGCTGCGAAGCCCTCTGGCTGCAATACGAGGAAGCCACAGTTGCTAGGCCGTGGAACGTTTTGGATCTCTAATTCCAAGATGATCTGAAATTGTCTCGTCTCTGATCGTCCCAGTCTCACGGTCCCACGCACAGCCCCCTTGGGCTCCCCATCAATAACATCATAGCCCGTATCTGAGGGCGCTGGCCCGTGATCTGGGAGAGAACCCTTGGCACCGAACAACACGATATGATAAGAAGCCAAGGAGACGTCTTCTACTCCCCCATTCAACCTTCGGCTGCTCGGGGTTGACCAGCACGCGCATCCGACAACACATGCGCACTCACTCTTGAAGAGCAATCTGGAAACCTATCGCTACCTCGCCTTTTGCACCGTTCCAGCAAGGGCACACCGTCATGGGGAAACAGGAAAGCGACCCAATGAACTTGTCCAACGCATGCGCACTCACCAAGGAACCACCCGGCTGGGATTCGACTTGGAGCACTTATTATGTCATGATCGGCGGAAGACCTACCTTCCCAGCTTACCCCCTTTACCGTGCAAATAAAATCATGTCGCCCATTCCTTCATCCACCTTCACCGCCTCACATCCAGGTCGTAAATTCGCAGGTCACGAGTGCCATGGCTTGCACTACCACCCACCTGCTTGGTGCACCTGATTACACTGCCTACTGCGTCCAAGTAGGTAAGGTAGGTATGCCCGCCCAAAGCTGAGTGGAATGGCAGTATATTAGAGCTTGGATATTCCAGGCTTGAGCGTCTAGGCTCAAGCTGACAGCTCGAAACGAACAACTCTGGACTCACTGAGTACCTGGTACCGATACATGTGCAACTGTGGCCGGTGATATCCTTCAGCCGCACAGGACTACAAGTTCTGGATATCAAAACGCCAGATGAAACTGTGCTCCGGGGAATAAGTGGCAGTGCCTACGGAGACCTACGGAAACATACGGCCCAGCCGTGATCGACAGCCAACGGCTACACACAACATTGCCGATCATCTCTTGGGCGACGTACCTTGATCGGGATACAGACAAACCCGCGGTTTCGGTGACTTAAGGGCGTAATCGCTGGTGACACCGTGTCACCTGCCCACCCCGGTGACCCGCGCCTTGTTTC